AAGGCAGACAGCACAAACTAGCAGCTGTTTTTAAACAAAAAAAGGCAACAAAAAACCCAACCACAGGCACGAGAGGTGTCTTCATGCTTGCTTTGTGCTCCTCTGGAGTGTTTGGCAGCTGCCACAGGATTTTGTTAAGTTGAATGTTTGTAGAAGGTGTTCTGCTCTGGTGAGCAGAAAAGCTCTTAATTGCAAAGTGTTGATGCTGTGGTTCTTGAGATGTGCTTGCTAGCCTGCTCTGTAATCACCTCCAGGCATTTTGTGCATTTTTGGCCTTCAGTTTTTTTTTTTCCCCTTAGTCTGGAAACAAAATGTTTGCCTTCATGGAGTGTATTCCAGGCTGTGTGGATGGGATTGGCTGTAGTGAAGCAGGTGTATCCCAGTCTCTCCTGTTCTTACACCCTGATTTCTTGCTGTGTGGGGATTTTTTGGGGGATGGGTTTGTTTACTTGTTTGTACCTAACTCAGTAACCTGTCCATGTTGTCAGTTGGTGTGTTTTGTATGTGTGTGAACCTCCTCATCCAGATTCTTCAAGATCATCTCTGCACAGCCTAGTGTTCAGATTTCAGGCTCTTGGGACTCAAGCTGGTGTGTGGTTGCCCTGAGCTCAGTGTAGCACCCTCTTGGCTCACCCTCAGAGCACCTTTCCCTTCTGCAGAGGGTTCTTGAGGAATTCTTTAGAGGAGGAAGTATAATGAAGCTCTAAAATTTCCATGCGAACTGCATATCAAAAAACCCCAAACAGGTTTAGACACTGATAAGTGAAATCAGAGGAACTGGTTCCTTGTTGGCTTTGGTGGGCTTATCTTCTGTTGCCTGCTTTGGTGGTTCTTGTTGTTGGCACTAATCCTGGTAGGAAGCACTCTTAAAAGAAGAGAGAACACAGCTTCGCCTTGGGTGAGGGAACTTACCTAATTGCACAGGAATGGTTTCATGAGTACAGTTTGTTTTGTAGAGCCAAGGCTGTGGGTTTACTTGGCAGTTTGAGCTTTTCCTTGCAGTCCTTCTCTAACGCTTGCAAGCACCTTCAATCCATACTTTAATGGGAAGAAATTACTGTTGTAACATTCTGAGCAGTTTTAACCTTTTATTTTGGAGTTTATAGTGATTTCATGCTAGAAGTTTTTCAGAACATTAGCTTATTGGTGACTCTCTTTCTACTCTTATTCAATTTCCTACCAATTACCCTTAAGAGTCACTAAAAGTAGCAATTGTCCTTGGGTTGAGCATCGGGCTGTTCATTCTGTGTTCTGAAAGCAGTCCTGTGTTTACATTGAAGACAGGAATTTGTTTGTATTCATTGGCAAGACTTTTAAAATTATAGATTACTGGAGTAAACCACTTCTAGCTCTTCCTGAATATCACTGAGGCATATATTTAATGCAAGACATTTGCTTTGGTGTGCAGCAAGGGGAAAGTGATGGTGGTGGAATCTTTTTCCTCTTTGCTCCATTAGCTTTTTTCCTGTTTTGTTTTGGTTTTTCACCTGTTGTTTCTTGGGTTTAAGTAGAGCATTTTATTCCAGTACAGCATTTAAGTGAGTTGAGTGCAAGTGATTTGTATTATTAAATAAAGCCTTGAAGAATTATTTGGCTCATCAAGATGAGTTTCATCTCCAGTTGCAGAGAAGACCCTGTCTAGTGTTAGTGTTGAAGTATTGCCAGTACAGAGCAGGTCTCAAGGATTAGCTTTTATTGATGCACCTGAACTATTTTTTTTTGGTCTACATTTGACTGTGCAACTTAAGGAGAGAAGAGCCAAATGCCAATTTAAGTCTCCCATTAGAATATTTATCTCTATTTTCTTCTAAATACTTGAACTATCTCAGTTTGTAAGCAGGTGGGTTTATAATGCAAATAGTTGTTGAACAGTCATTGGGGAACTTGTCAGTCACTTGTTTCTGTAGGTTCCTTACCTGAAGTTCCTCCTGTCTCTGACTGAAAAGCCAATCTTCTGACCTTCTCTTTATCATCCCCTGTCAAAACCCTCTTTGAACTCTTCACGTGCCTCCTGTGTCCCTGAGGAAAGCAAACCAGCTGTTCAGAGCCTGCCTTGGGAAGTGCAGCCTGCAGGAGGAAACCATCTAATTGTCTGGCATTTGTGGCTTTGATCATAGAGTGCTTCAGGTTGGAAGGGACCTTAAAGATCATCAGGTTCCAACCTCCCTGCTGTGAGTAGGGACACCTCCCACAAGCCTCATCCAACCTGCCCTTGAACACTTCCAGGGATGGGGCAGCCACAGCTTCCCTGGGCAACCTGTTCCAGCACCTTCTTACCCTCATGGTGAAGAATTTCTTCCTGATGTTTAACCTAAATCTCCCCTCTTTCAATTTATAAACTGTTAATAAGATTTTATGGATCATCATTTATTTGGAATAGTAGATTTTGGCAGTACTGGTGGGTGGCCACTGCCTCCCCAGGGGTTTTGTGAGGTGGCACTGAGCTCCCCCTCAGCATGAGGAGGGCCTGAGGTCATGGTGGGTAAAAAACGAGGATCCTTCCTGTGCCTGGCAGAGCTAAAGCTGCTCTTCTGTCTTTTCCCATTACCTGGCATCTATTACACAAACATCTATGTGTGTTTTGAGATCTTTCCTGTAAAAATGTAGCAGCCTTTCCCTCTGGCTGGAAATGGAGAGAGACAGAGACTTATTGTTTGTACCTGAGGGGTGTGTTTGTCATTAAGGGAAACTTCAGAGCTGCTCTGGGTAACCCAAGTGCTTCACATCAGTTCCTCGCTGCCTCCTCTGCTCTGCTTCCTTCTGGCATCCACTGGGATGCTTCCAGTGCATGGGAAGCACCATGTTCCATTCTGCCAGATTGGATCTCAGCAGGTCCTGTTCCTTACCTGAAGTTCCTCCTGTCTCTGACTGAAAAGCCAATCTTCTGACCTTCTCTTTATCATCCCCTGTCAAAACCCTCTTTGAACTCTTCACGTGCCTCCTGTGTCCCTGAGGAAAGCAAACCAGCTGTTCAGAGCCTGCCTTGGGAAGTGCAGCCTGCAGGAGGAAACCATCTAATTGTCTGGCATTTGTGGCTTTGATCATAGAGTGCTTCAGGTTGGAAGGGACCTTAAAGATCATCAGGTTCCAACCTCCCTGCTGTGAGTAGGGACACCTCCCACAAGCCTCATCCAACCTGCCCTTGAACACTTCCAGGGATGGGGCAGCCACAGCTTCCCTGGGCAACCTGTTCCAGCACCTTCTTACCCTCATGGTGAAGAATTTCTTCCTGATGTTTAACCTAAATCTCCCCTTTTTCAATTTATAAACTGTTAATAAGATTTTATGGATCATCATTTATTTGGAATAGTAGATTTTGGCAGTACTGGTGGGTGGCCACTGCCTCCCCAGGGGTTTTGTGAGGTGGCACTGAGCTCCCCCTCAGCATGAGGAGGGCCTGAGGTCATGGTGGGTAAAAAACGAGGATCCTTCCTGTGCCTGGCAGAGCTAAAGCTGCTCTTCTGTCTTTTCCCATTACCTGGCATCTATTACACAAACATCTATGTGTGTTTTGAGATCTTTCCTGTAAAAATGTAGCAGCCTTTCCCTCTGGCTGGAAATGGAGAGAGACAGAGACTTATTGTTTGTACCTGAGGGGTGTGTTTGTCATTAAGGGAAACTTCAGAGCTGCTCTGGGTGACCCAAGTGCTTCACATCAGTTCCTCGCTGCCTCCTCTGCTCTGCTTCCTTCTGGCATCCACTGGGATGCTTCCAGTGCATGGGAAGCACCATGTTCCATTCTGCCAGATTGGATCTCAGCAGGTCCTATGTGTGTGTATGTGTTTTTTGTATGTCTCCCCCAGCCTTCCAGATCCCTGATGGGAACCCTGCTGGAGCCACCCATTCCTGTCACACAGGGGAAGCCAGTGAGGCTGGTCTTGGCCTTCCAAGGGATTCCCAAGTTCTCCCTGCCTTAATTTTAATATTAACTAGAGCTGTCATAAAAGTTCCTCATATCAAAAAGACAGGACTTGACCTAGGAGTTGAGGGGAGGAAGGGAAGGAATTGGGTCAGCTGGACCTTGGCATGTGCCTGGGCAGTGCCACGTGGGCTGGCACCGTCTCGGTCACCCAAGGACGAGGCTGCTTGATGCTGCATGTCCTGACCTCTTCACCACTGCCCTGCAGCACAGCGTGGTCACAGAGGGAAGTCTGAACCCAGTTATTGTCCCTTTGTTTGCTCTTTATAAGTTCCTGATGACTACTGGGATGTGCTGTAAGCAAAGCCATTTGCAAAGAAACAAGCCTTAATGAAAGCACAGGCAACATCCAGTATAAATTTAATAATGGCCAGACTTGCTTAACATCTGCAGTTGCAGAACACTAATGACAGGCATAGAAAAATGGTTTCAATTCAAAGATTTGAATTTTAAGTCTTACTTTGTCCTTTTGACATTCTGCCCTATCCAGACTTCCTTTCTCCTGTTGGTTATACCCAAGGACTAGAGGTATTTCCACAATGTTAAAGCCACAAAACCTGACACCTTTTGAACAGGCACAGAAGCAAATATTTCATTACACTTTGTAGAAATTCTGTTGGACTGACACTGACGTTCTGGTTTCAACTTGAGGGGGGTTTGTTGCCACATCCTGCCCTCTTGGCTGTAAAAAGCAAGAGGAAAAATGATTTTATAATGGGTGCACACTGGAGGGTGAGCTGTGCCTGGGCATCAGTTGTTTTGTAACTCCTTGGGAAGAGGCAGAGCTCCAGTGGGGAAATAAGAAGACTACTTTTGCTTTGTAATATTTTGAATGTACTTTTTCAATCTTCAGAAAAATAAATAGAATTTAAAAGCAAACAACTCCAGAGGCTGTATCTTTGCATTGTTGCTGTGAGCCCTGGACTGGCATGTCTTATTTTGACAGTTTTCCAGAGCCATTAGCCAGGCTGAGCCTGTCCTTTGTTCCTGGGGCTTGGAGGGAATGTCTGGGAGCCCTTGCCTCCGCCTCCCTCCCTCCTTCTCTCATTGCTAACCCTTGTTTTTGTTTCTCCCAGCTCCCAGCATGTCCACAGATGGTGGCTTTGGCACAGCCAGCAACAGTGATGCCCAGCAGAGCCTCCAGTCCTTCTGGCCACGGGTGATGGAGGAGATTCGCAACCTCACGGTGGTGAGTGTCCCCATCCACTGCCTTCCTTCTGGGGAACTGGCACTGGGAAGTGCCTGGTAGTGCCTGGCAGCAACATAAACCTCGGCTTGAACGTGTTCCTGCTGCTTATATCATCCAGTAGAGTTGGCTATTGGCACGCTGCAAGGTGGCCTTCAGGGCTGGTGAATAATCGTTCAGCCAGGCTTTTGACTTGGCTGCAACCACCAGAAGTTGAGATAGAAGCTGAATGCAGCTGATTCATGAGAGAGAATAGTTAGCCCTTCAGCTCTCTGGACTAAACAGGTTGCCTCACAGATTGTTTAGCAGGCCAAGTGATGACTGTGACTGCTTTCTAGTCAAGTGCAGAGGAATTATGCTCAGTTAGGGGAGGAATGGGAAGTGATTTTAAAATAGCTGCAGGTGCAAGTGTAGCTGCCATAAGGTATTTCAGCTGCCAGAAGATTGAGGGATTGGAGAATATACCCACATTGTACAATGTGGACTGTTTAACTGCTGGGAAATGCTGTCAAAGAAAATTTGAGACCTGCAGTGAGGGAACCCTTCCCCACCCCGAAGGACAAGCCCCACCAGTGACCCTGGCAGGTGTTCCTGTCCAAAATATGACTTTTCCCCCCTTCATAAATTCAGACACCTGGCTACTGGCAGACAGTTACAACTTTCTGAATTATTTTTTGGGTTCAGACTTGTGTATAGAACCTACTGTGCCCTCTTTCAGAACAGTCTCCTTAGACAAGCCTGAAATGTTGAGAATCACTGGGATGCCAAGAGCCCCATTACCAGACACTTTATTAAATTACAGACACTTGATGGAAAAAATAATCATGCATAGGCTGAGAATAAGAATTGGACTAAGTAGCTTTTATTTTTTTCCCTCCCCAAAAGAGAAGTGCCTGAGAACAAGGGCATATCATAAAAATGACTTTTCAAGAGAGATTGATAAATGACTGTGATAGAGTGGCCCTGAAAACACGTTGCCCTGCCTGGAATGGAGCTGAAAACAAAAGAGCTCCAGTGGAAGACGGGCTGTTCAAAGTGAAAAACCCCAATCCACTAGTCTGAAGATAAGCTGCTTTTTTTTCAGCCTGTGTGCAGATAGTTGATTAAAGAAACAGATGTAGAAATTTGTATGCATAACCAGAATTAATTACTTTCCTCTTTCAGCGCAGTGAATTCTTGTGTTCAAGAGCTGTAGTTTGTCTTCATCTCCACATGAAAGGGGTTTGTTCTGCAGCTTATCAAGTATGGGCAGCTTAATTTTTAACTGTCGTATTAATCTATTTATTGCATTGCAAGCTGGTAAGTCATTGAAAATTCTAACTGAGGACAGTGAAGGGAGTTGGAAAGGAAAAGGGATAACTGCAAAACATTCCTATGCAGTTGTTCCCTGTGTAATCCTGAGTTATTGCATCTTGTTGGGAGTTCTCCCGTGGATGTGGACGTAAGTAAACTTAAAGCTCATCTGCATGTTCTGCACAGGGGAGGTTGGAGCAGCTGCCTGGTGGAAAGCTGCTTTGGTTCCCTGCTTTTCAGGGCTGTTCTGCCTGGTTTTGTGTATTTTTCATGTGTCACTAGTATCTAAAATGCAGGGGAGGAAAAAACAAGGGAGCTACTTTAGAAGAACAAATCAGAGCTCCTTGTACTCAATCCCGTATGACAGAAGGGACTGGAGCCTGGTCTTGGAGAAACACGAGACAGGGCTAGGCTGAAACTAGCCTTTCAGCTCCACAGTGAGAAGAGGCCTGTAAAAACATTGAGACCTAATTTGGAAAAAAAGAAAAGATGAAGAATTGGTGTCTCAAGTTTGCTGTGCTGGGCAGCAGCCAGCCCTGGCCACGCTTCCCCTCACCGTGCTGCTTGCGTCTTCCTTTGGATTTATGTGATGTTTGCCTGTCTGCCTTAGAGGAATAAAGAAGCTGTGAATTTTTTCTCATTTCTCCTGCTGCCTCTCTTCTCCAGAGATGTTGAGAGTGTTGTACCTATGCATGCCTACCTGCAGTTGGGCTTCAGAATATGAAGAGTTTCACAAATCAGAAGTTTTACTCTCATCTCTCCTTAAGGCTCGCTCAGAGCTCACAAGGCTCTTTATAAAGGAAAGAGTTTTTAAAAAAATAATGATAATTTTCTTTAAAAAAGCCACCCTGGGCACATTGTGTGTTCAAGCACAGGTCCCAGCCCTGGCTACCCTCTTCTTCCATTGCCCAAAATCCTCCCAAATTCCCACATTGTCCAGCGAGATGCAGCAGGTCTCAACACCATCATACCCCAAATTAACTCTGATATGCAGTATATTTCCAGGAGTACCAGAAACACCACATTCCTGTTTCTCTACAGAATAAGGGCACAGAATTCTTTATTTTTAATATATATGCATAGAAAATAATATATATCTATTATTTTTAATATATAAATTAAATAAAATGCCCCCTGCTGGTGTGCTGACTGAGCCATACACAACCTCCATATTTTGCTTCAATAGAAAACAGCTTTTTCAGCATCTTTCCTCTCCCTCTTTTGTTTCATTAACAAGTCTTGCAGTGCTTTCTTCCCTAGGGAAATGAGTTTCCTTTTATTTTCTGTGACATTAAGAAGGGAAGATGTTTTTTTAGCAGCCCTTTGTGGATAAGGATCCTGTGTTCCTGATGCACTGATATTTACCCTCAGCCTCTCTCTCTGTTAAGGAGCTCCTGGTAGCAACACACCATTATTATTATTATTGTTGTTGTTGTTGTTATTATTATTATTATTATACTTCTTTCTGCCTTCAGAGAAGGGAGCCCACAATTTGTAGGGAAGCTCAGCAGCTTCCCTTTGCTGGGAAATAGGAAGAACTCTGTCCAAAACCAGGAATGGAAGAGTTTTTCATTTTTTTAACAAGATTCTTCCAAGGCTTTTAACACCAAAATTGGTATTGGGCAACAGGGAAGTACAAACAAAGCAGAGCAGCTTTCATCCTGTGGCCCCACATAGCTCTTGTTTGCCTTTGTTTTCTCTTTTTATAAATTCCAGTGGTTTCTGGGTCCAGAGACAGCTCATTGAATTAGTTGCCTCAAATATAAATAGATGCAGAAATGTGTAACACTAGAAACACTTGTTCTGCAGAATGACTTCAACTTTGAGGTGAAGATACAAGTGTCTGAGGGAAGATTTAAGTATAATTATATCAGTATAAAATAGGAGAAAGCAGATAAGGTTTCTCAGACCTGAGGAGAAGCTGGATACCTCAAAGAAAATAAGTTATTTCAATGAATCTAATTTTAGCCAGTTTAGTTCTGAGAACCCAGGCTTGTTTTAACATGTCTCACCTTACCTTTGTTTTCAGTTAATATCAGTAAAGTGTCTCTCAAATGTGCATCTCTCTGCAGAAAGACTTCAGGGTTCAAGAACTCCCCCTGGCTCGTATTAAGAAGATAATGAAACTAGATGAAGATGTGAAGGTACTCTCATGGGTTTGTTCTTAAGCATTTATAAGCCCTTTGGTGGATAGTGTAGCTGTAATTCCTTGCAATTCATTACTTACTATCATAATTACTATTTTTAAAGCACGTTTCAACAGTTGCCTTGAATGTCTGAGCTGGCCTTCAATTGAACTGAGCTGGGAAAGCAAAATCATTTAGGATCTTGCCGAAGAGTTTTACTTTATCCTGGTAAATACCAGCCTAACATTAGGTGTATTTCCTGTGTTTTCTAGTGCTGAACTGTCTTTTCTCATGTTTCCTTTTTGTTTCTCTCTCTTCTTCCTTTCACAAAGCTAGAGGGTGTTTAGTGTGAAGAGTGATACCACTTCAGTGTGTGCTGTGCTGTTTCAAATTTTGTGGAAAAAATAAGTAATCATGTAGGTAGATAAGAGGGGTTTGATATCAGCATTTGAGCTGAACCCTTGACTTGTGACTGGTGATGATAACATATGAATTAACTAACAGGAACTGACATAAAAGGAAGGAGGAAGGAATCACCTGCAGGGTTTGCCTCCCACACTGCTCCAGTCCTCCCTGAATTTTAAGTTGGAGAACTGTCAAGACGCTTAACTCCTAAAAGAGAAGATAATAGTTTGCACTTTCTTCTTGTCATTCTCAATGTGACACCATGCTTCTGTTAGGAAAACCTTTGACATTTAAAGGAGACCCTGGAAAAGTAGGTGTTTGTCTTCCTGTACAAGGGAGTGATTCATTCAGCCTGGACAGGGAATGAGCCCGGGCCCCTGAGCTCCCAGGTCAGTGTCTGAGCCCAACGAGTGCCAAAGTTTTGGTGCTAAAGGGGAAGATGAGATTTTAGGGAAGGACTGGGGAGGAGATGGAAGTGTCTGGCCTGCCTGGAACATTATTTGACAGGAAAACTGTACTAGGGAATAAGCATTAATGCCAAGCCAGCTAATAATTAAACTGCTTAATTTGACTAAAACTTGAGCTAGAGACTTTTTAAGGAAAAGGAATTTGGTGAGGCAGAGTCTTTGGTCCTGCCTGCAAACCTCCCTTGCAGTTTCAGCATTCATTTCAAATCATCTAAATGTTGCAACTATGAAGTAAGGGCCAGGCTTGAAAATGAACCCTGAAGCTCTTCAGTTCCCAAATCATTCCTGTATGTGCCAGGGCACTGCCAGGAGGAGCTGCTGGTTGACAGCGCCTAGATGAATGTGGACTGGTGCCATGACCTGACCTCCAGCACAATATGGAGCTGACATCTGACTGGTCTGGAGGAAACAGACATTAGAGACCAATTTTAGATGCCCAATACTCCTAACACTCCATTTAACTGGAGGCTGGTGACTCTTTGGACTCTCAGATCCAGATAATCTGACATGGAAATTCCCCCAACTTCACTGTTAAACAGCTCAGCCATTCAGGTGGGACTGACGTGATAACCACTGCTTTGCAGGGTTAGAATACTCATGGTAAACTTAAAAAAAAAAAATAATAATCAATGGTAACTTCAATTGCAGATGATAAGTGCAGAAGCTCCTGTGCTGTTTGCCAAGGCAGCTCAGATATTCATAACAGAACTGACATTACGAGCCTGGATACACACAGAAGACAACAAGCGCAGGACTCTGCAGGTAACAGAGCTGCCCAGAAACTGTTTCCAACTCTTTGTTTCCATAATATGAGCTGTGTTTTGTAAACATAACTTTACTCCCTGTGTTTATCACCTCAAACATGGTGCACAGTGCCCAGTGTAACTGCGACTGAAAGGCTTTGCTTTTGTTGTTGTTTGGGGTCTTTTTGCAAACAAACTTAAGAAAAAACAAACCCAAAAAGCTGCAGCTGTCAGCTACTGCTGAGCTGCTCTGGGGGCTGTAGCTACTGAACCTCTAGCTGGTTTGTTTTTCAGCAGTAGTTCTAATGTTAAGCTTGTAGGTGTTAGTTTGTGTTGATAAATGTGTAGAGATCAAAACAAAAATACCCTCCTCCAGAACAGATTGTTTTTTTCTGGATTGAGAGGCTCTCAGTAATAGTAATTTTTAGTAGCTCAAGAGTAAACTGTAAACCTTTAGAGTATTTTTATGGGGAAGAAAATACAATTTCAAAAATGTCATTCACTTTATTTTACGAGGTCACTCAGTCACCACTAAATTGGGATGATGCTACTTGGCTTAGCCCAGGTTTTGGTGCAAGTTACTCTGGGAAGGATGTACTGGATACAACCATGAAGAAGATGCTTCATAAGCCCGAGTGCTGACTCAGGCCTGTCCTGTTAACAGTGGTTTTTTTGTCTGTTTATTTCTGAATCTTATTTAAATCCTGATCCTAAGACCTTTAATTGCCTTGGGTTTTATTTCTGCCCGCCTTGCCTTCCCCAGCAGCTGCCATCCTGGAACAGCTGCTCTCCACATGGCCAGAGCAGCTGGAGAAAGGCAGTCTCTGCTCAGCAAGTCCTGGGGAAGAAAATTTCAAGTGGAGATGTCTGAGTTATGGGAGTCTGTTCCTGAGGAAATTGGATTGAGCCCAGTGGAGAATGAAATACGAGATACATCTGTTCAGTGCAAGTTTTCTGCCTGGTGAAGATAGTTTTATGATATAAGCTGCCTGTGGAACAAAAGAAGTGTCTCTTTTGTGCTTGCTGAGTGATCGTTGTTTGGCAGTGAAATGCCAAGGCAGTAATAGGGTTAGAAATGTCACCTAGCCTGAAGTGAGAGGATTGATAGTCTTTTAACTTTTACCTACTCGTTAGGCAGCACAGGCCTCTGTGTCTCAAATCTTGTTCATATATATGTGCTTTACAAATGTATCTTCAGCTAAGGAGAATGAGGCTTTCAATAGCTTCTTGAATTAGCCCTTTAAAATGACAGAGTACATTTTCTTTTTTTTTTAAAAAAAGAAATTCAGCTTTTTATATCAGGGTTGTTCAGTTCTTGAGCAACTACATTTAAGTGGTGACTTATTCCTGGGTAACTCTTTCTTCAAGCCTTCAATGCTTTGTCCTAAAGCTATTCCTTAGAGTTCTTTTTCAGACAAGGTATAAAAGTAGAGTTATAAGCCATTTTGAGAAGAGAGTTACCATGCCAGTTTGTCACAGAAGCTTGTTGGCTTTTGCACATCCTTTTTCTGATGTGTGTTTGGCCAGTTTGCTGAGTGTGTGTTTTAATCTCCATTCTTTCTGTTAACCATTTTGCCCTTCCCTGTGCTGAAGCCTGTTCTCCCCACATCTCCTGGGGTTCCCCTGCCCTGAACAAAATCCTGTGACACTTATTTAATCCCATCCCAAATTCATTGATTCTCCCTATGTTGCTGCCAATACATGGAGAAATCACCCTGCTATTTCTGCAAGGCTTCTTTCCAGATTTTAATTATTTTTTAAAAGAAGAATTCCCTTTTTTTAATGTGCTAAACGGGCTTCTGGGGGTTGTCATGAGCCCTCTGTAGTGAGTTACAGTGGTACCATTGTGGGGAGCCTGATGAGGCCTGGTGGGTGAGTAGAAAAATGCCTGAGTTGGAGAAGCACCTTCTTGTTGCACATCTTGGAGGCCTCACTGGGCACAAGACAGAGGTGTTGGTGCTGAGCAGAAGTTCTCATCACCTGACTCGACTGCTTGGGATCTGGAGAAGACATTCTCACTTGACCCAAAAATCTCTTTAACTTCATGTATCCAGAGACAAAACAGACTTCTAAAGCTGAAGAATGGTTTTCTTTCTCTGTTGTTGTAGAGGAACGACATTGCCATGGCAATCACAAAGTTTGATCAGTTTGACTTTCTCATTGATATTGTTCCAAGAGATGAGCTGAAGCCTCCGAAGCGACAGGTGAGATATCAAAACATTTGCCTTATTGTCTGTCCTTTCCTTGGTGTGGTTTCAGTCTCAGCTGATAAAGCAAAACAGTTCTAAACATGAGACTTGTGCCTCTCTCTTTCACAGGTTCATTTACAGTAGCTTTCAGGTTCTTAATTTTTTTAGTGGAACTAGAGCTTGAGTGGAGGTTTACAGAAGCCTGACTTAAGTGACAAAACTATTGCTAAATAGCTCTGATACCACATGTTGCCAGTGTTGAAGTTAACTGTACAAAGTGTGCTGAGTCTGCATCCTTTGACTTGTCAGGGGAGAAAGAGGCTTTGCTTGCAGGTCCTACCTCCTGCCTCCTTTGGGGCAGTCACTGCTACTGTAAACATCCTTGACTGGAAGCTGTGAGGTGCTGGAAGGAGCTTTCAGTCGGATGTTTACAGCAGCAGGCTGCTGCACTCAGCTCAGCACCAGGGCTCTGAGCCTGGGCAGCCTGGTGTTGTTCAAAGCTCTTCTAACCTCTGTGGGGCTGAAAATGCCTTGAGGTGGGGTCAAAGCTCAGTCTTGCTGCTTTAAACACACAAAGAAGCAGATCCAGCTGGTCCAGTAGACTAGTTTATCTCCTTCACCTAAAAACTTGGTGTTTTGCTGCTGAAAGTTCACCAGTAATGGCTCATCTGTCTTTGTTACAAGTTGCCTGGTAGGTGAAGTGGCTGGATACCAGCAGGGCACCTCTCCTAGGGATCAGCTCCCTTTGGATGGTGCTGCTCCTGGTGTTGTTGCCCAGGGCTCAACTGGAGCAATGAAGTTATTTTTCTTTTAGGTGCCTCATCCACTTATTCTTGTAGTGCTATTTTCAGAAGTGCTCCATGTTTAGGAGAAGATTGGCCATACCTGGAACCTTTTGTTCCACATTAAGATGTTCAGACAACAGAACATTTCAAGTTCTATAACCAGATGAAGGATTTTAAGCATGTTCCATGCATGTAGGTTGCTCAGTTAACATGTCTTGATGGTGCATCACACCAGAGTTGTCTTGTGGATTGCCCAGCACCAGCAGGGAAACCCTTTTGGGGTTTGGTTTGAAATAGGCTTTAGAGATCTGTCTCTCCCTAGTACATCCACTGCCTGGGAACACTGCTGAATCACTAGGAATGCTTCTTAGGGCAGAAGAAATCTGATGGAGAATGAGCTGCCTGACAAGAACATAGGTTAGGACATTGCAGAGGAAAATAGTCCTTTGATTCAGCAGTGTTGAAAGCAGCTGCCTGGAGGCAGACAGCCTGCACTTCTTGGCTGGGGGTACAAGCTGTATTTTATCTCTACCACGGAAAAGACTGTTTGACAAGTTAGTGTTGGTTACGTGGAAGAGCTGGGAATGAAACCATGACTGTTATGTTGCTCTGGTAACTGGAGCTATGGCTTGAAAATAAAAGATGGCAAACGGTGTAACCTGGTCCAAGCAGATGTGGATTTAAAGTCATTTTTGCCTGCAGCAAATGCAACCTACCCTGGAATTAGTTACTTAGAATTGTACTCAGTTGCCTTGTTTCAGGATTCAGCAAGGAACTGGGGAATGGAGTGCTCTGGAAATAACAAACCCAAGGACTGGGCCTCACAGAAACAGATGCAGCTTTTCTGTGTGTGGTTTTATGGTTAATTGGAGACATGTCCTGTTGAATATATATTTACTTGTTATTAATCTCTCTCCAAAAGGATATGATGAAGTGAGTAGGAATAACCAGTGAGCTACCACGTGTAGCAAGTATTGTGTTTGGTTGCAGTGGTTTGCAGTACTGTGGGACAGTGCTGGTGTTTGCTCTGAGAGCCAGGCTTAGAAGTCACTCCTTGATTACAGCCAACTGTGAAGAGTTTTAATCTCTGGGGGTAGATTTCTGGCAGGCAAGTGAGAAACCTCCCAATAGCCTGTGTGCTCTTTAGCTGCTGTCCCTCTGAGACACCAGCACCTCACCTGGATTTCCTCCCACCTGCTGCCCACGAAGACAGTGATCTTGTTTAATGTGCATTTTTCTTTTCCTGTCCAGTTGGAGGCACTGAAGGTGATCCATGAGCAAGCCTCATGGAGCTCAGGGGAGCCCAGCAGCCTGGTGCCAGTCGGGATCTGCCATGTTGTAGCACGTGTAAACATCCTACACTCTCAGCTGTGAACTCGAGGTGGCTGGGAGAGGATTGTTTACGCCTTCTGCCATGGGGTGAACATCTGGTCAGCTGCATCTTCCACAAGGTGCAATGTCCAACTGCTCCTCTGGGGAGTTTCAGAGCGGTGATTCTTGAGTGTTCACAGCTTGCCACTTAACATCATCTCTGGAAATCTCCTTCTTTGCCTAAAATACTGTTAATTGTGAGGGGCTTTTCTCTCCTAAAGACACACTGAGGTAAAACCAATCAGTGTTACAGCCTGTGCTGCTGACAGTGAGCTAGAGCAGAGCCTTTTTGTCTTCACACTGTTGAGATATTCCTGCTACCAGCAGAACCAGGCTGTTAAGCCACAGCACAAGACAAAGTTGTTATAATTCTGGAAAAGCTGGATTTAAATAAATAAATCAAGGCACAGCAGTACATCAAGCCCATGACCCTTATTCCCAAGGGTTTAACATCAGAGCTAGACTGGGATTTGTGTTGGGCATGGAGGCTAAGAAGAGGGTTTTGCTGACAGATGAGGCTTTGTAAGTCTTCCTGGTGCATTTGCAACTCATCTTGTGTAGAGATAACAGGTGATGATGGAACTCACCGAGGAGGAGTGGTGAGGTTTTCAGCTGTGGTAATTTTACTTATTTGCTTCTCCTAATGAAACTGGTGACTACATTATTGCACGTAGAGTAATGGAAATGGTTTTGATTTCCATGTAGCTGAATAAAGGAGGAGCCCTGTTTGGGTTTGTCATTTCAGTTTCACTTAAACTGTTAGGAACGAATTGTTAAAGACACTTCCCCACGGAGCATGCTTGTGGGGGGCTCTTTTGGTTGGGGTGTTGGGGTGTTGACCTGTTCCCTCCCTGCTGACCTGTCTCTTCCCTGTGCTGCAGGAGGAGGTGCGCCAGACTGTGACCCCCGCTGAGCCTGTCCAGTATTACTTCACTCTTGCCCAGCAACCTGCTGCTGTGCAGGTCCAGGGCCAGCAGCAGGGCCAGCAGACCACCACGTCCACCACCACCATCCAGCCAGGGCAGATCATCATTGCCCAGCCACAGCAGGGGCAGGTGAGCCACAAGCAGCCCCCAGGGCCTTCACAGGGCGGTGGAGCCTGGGAAACCCTCCATTCCCCATGCCTCATGGATTGCAGCATCCTGTTCTCCCTGTTAGAATGGTCAATAGCAGTAGAGAAATGTGGGGTTTTGCCCGACCAGGTGCTCAGATCCCTTAATGACAAGGGTGCTGTGTACTTAACCCACCTGGATGTGTTCCTGTGGGATCTGCTCTATGGGATCCTGCTCTAGCAGGGGGTTGGACTGGGTGATCTTCAGAGGTCCCTTGCAACCCCAGCCACTCCTTGACTCTCATGTAGGTCTTGCATTCCCTTCATGCTGATTTGAGCATCATCAAGTGACAGTGGGTGTGGGCAGCAGTCTGGCTGTTACAGTCTCTGTTCCACCCATGTTCAGTCCTTGCCTGGTCCTTATCCCCATTTGAATGCAGAGCACCCCTGTGACGATGCAGGTTGGAGAAGGCCAGCAGGTCCAGATAGTGCAGGCCCAGCCACAAGGACAGACCCAGCAGGCTCAGAGTGGAACTGGGCAGACCATGCAAGTCATGCAGCAGATCATCACCAACACAGGAGAAATCCAGCAAATCCCGGTAAGATTTTACCAGCAGAAACGTGTAACAGCCCTGTGAGCAAACTGGGCTGCTGTCCTGGCACAGGGGTGTACATGGGGGCTTTGTTAACTGTTAGAGGAAGCTTGGCTTGAGTGGTGTGTTTCCTGCTCTTAGGAAAACTAACCATGTGTGTTATGAAAGGGGGAAATAAATCCAACCCATCTAGTGCAGAGTCATTGCCCACACCAAACACTGAGTGACATAGGTAGGATTAGGAAGCAATAAATAAAGTATTTCCTGGACCAACCTTAGTTCTTTACTACTGCATGGTTTCAATCAAGCATAATTAACTACTTTTGCCTTTACTTGGGTCTGCCTCAGCCATCTGAAGTCATGACCTGGCAGACCAAGTGGGAAAGGTGCCATCTGTGAGTTACTACTGAACTTTTATAAGAAACATCTCCACAAAATACTTTGAGCTGATTGGAGGAAGGGCTTTGCAGAACCAGAAGATATCTCTGCATTTTCCCATCAGCGTAGACCTGCTGTGGCCTTAAGAGTGGGATTTTGAGTGCCCAGCATCAGCAGTAATATTCTGGCATGTGTCCTAGGTAAATATGTGGGTCAAAAAAATGTCATTTTCCTCCCCCTCTCTCTGTAGCTTATAGTCACAACAAAGCTGGGTCTTTTGGTTCCCACATGGAAAATGTCACACCTCTTTAATGAAAAAGATGAAAATCCATCCAGGGCTGTGTACTTAACCAGCAACCCAAAGGTCAGCCCAAGTGACCAAGACAAGCTTTTCACTTAGTCTTTGGTGTCTGTTACTAAATGTCCCTGGAGTTGTGACAACGGATCTTTCACACAGGTTTTGCTTTTCAAGATCTGCTGAGCTTCCCTCTCTGTGTCTGGCAGGTGGTTGTGCTTTGACAAAGCATCTTGAAGAAGGTTTAGTTTGGGATTGTTACCAGATTTTTCCAATTCAATTCCGAAGTCCTAAGTCTGCATCTGGTTCCTTCTGCTTGGCTTTAGGTGTTGGTCAGAAAGGAGGTGAATTACTTGCCAAATACAGTGGTTTACTACAAGCAACCTTTTTCTCTCTCTGCTTTCTCCACTATGTTTCTTTTCCATTCCTTTTTTTTCTTTCTTTCTTTATGAAACTCTCTCCAAGATACTTGTTCTTCAGAGCATTTTGGAAGGAAATCTCCACCTCCAGCCTGAGTGAATCCACCACAACAGTTCAGACTTATTTTCTAGTGAATGCTGAACTCCCAGCAAGAAGGGGGCTTGGAGATGTGCTAGGAGGAAGGATTCTTTAGGAAGTAGCTGTGAGGGGGCCATAACCTTCTGCAGGAAATACTGTTCTCCACGTTGGTGGATCCTGTTGCAAGAGGTCCTATGTTCTAGCAATGTGAAGCTGGAGGCTTCTTCATTAGTGTCTGCTTTTGGCCAAGCATCTGCTTCTTGCCTGGGAGCACTGGAGGGCAGGGATCTGTGCCTGGTCCCTGGAAGATTCTTATGCTGCAGATGTGGGACAGAACCTCCAAGTACCAAAGGGTGGGATCTTTGGGAGCACTTGGGTCTCTCAGAAGTGTACGACTACAAAGCAGAGCAGCTGGGGAGCAGTGTGTTAATGAAACAGTCACAATCTGTGCTTCTGTATCAAGCAGAGATCCTGTTTTGACTGTAATTCAGGGAATTCTTCATAATCACAGGGCGTTGAAGAGCCACAGTTGGTGCTGAAGAAGCAACTTTCCCCTCGTGTGCTTCCAGCAAGTGAAGTGAAGTAGAACATGGAGCCATGCACTGTGGGAGCTTTTAGTGCCCCAGCCTGGCAAGCAGCTTTTGTTTGTATTCACAGAATTCCAGTCCTTGGTCCCTCCAGTGCTCCTGTCCATTCTGTTCTCTCTGCTGTGCTTTCATTTTTCCCTCGAGTTTCCTTTCTGTCTTGATCCACCTAGTGCTACATTCTGGTGGTTCCTTTTCACTCTGGTATCTTCTTAGGGTTCAGCAAAGCCTCTTTCATAACACAAATATGATGGTTTGAAATGCCTGTAAAACTGGTAGTGTCTCTGGTGGTTGCAGGACTGAGAGAATCTTTCTCATGTTCTGTGCTGGTTTTCCACATTCTCCTGGTATTGTGTCCACTTCTCCAGTGTATGTACTTTATAGGACCACAGGTTGCCCGTGGAAAAGTGACTTGTATTTTTTTATAAGCTGAGAAAAACTGAAGGGATGTTTATACATGAATTAAATGGTAATCACTTGTTAATTTTGTGTTTAAAGTTAATTTGTGTCTTAGCTAGACTTCACTGGGCAGGTTGTTTGGAGTTGCCTCTCATTTCTGGAAGAACAGTCTTCCTATTTCACCCATTCAGTTAGTAGTGTAGTTAAAATGGATGCAGGAAGCCCCCAGCGTGGAAAACATGATCTGCTGGCAGATCTCAGTGTAGAAACAAATTCTTTATTGAAATGTTTATGCTCATGTGGAGTTTATTTGTTCTTGAAATAATATTGGAGCGTTTAGGCACAGCTGGTGAAGTCAGCAGCGTTTGTGCAAATGCCAAGACCATGTTCTAGGCACTTGAACTTTTGTCAGTGAGCACTCTCAAGTGTGTTGTATGTCCTTCTTTCCCCTTTGAAAAAAGAAAAAAAAACCCACCCAAAAACTTGCATATAATTAAGGCTGCATGTCTGAATGTTCTGAAGTTAAATAACACACAACGCAGAGTTCAACGGTAGCAGCCACCACACTGTGACCTTTGTTATTGCTTCTCAGATGTGTGTTAGCTGTTTATATCATAGAAAATACAAGATTAAAGTTGAGGTTACCATGATGACTTTGTATCCCCCCCCAAGCATCTGACCTTGCAGGATCCAGGGTTGTAGGAAATAAATTTGAGGGATATACACCAAGTATTGACTCAGAAAATACTGCCCAGGTGAGGGCTGACCTGTATTGGCAAAGAGCTGCATTAAAAGCTTCAAAACATATCCTTGGGTTTTGCCATCCCTGCTGTCTTTATTTCTGTGAACATTTCCCATGTATTCTTTAATATTGTTGGCAGGATGTGGTGGGAGTGTCGTCATGTGCAGCCAGCTCAAAGCAGCTCCTTGATGTGAAATGATGCATCACAGCAGAAACTCGACTCTCCTAACCAAAAAGAAAAATAAGGGCTCTCAGAGCTCTCTGGAATTTAGCAATTAATGTGCTTGAGCTACTAACTGGAGAAAGGAGTTAATGTTGTGCTGCCTCGGGGTGGTACTTCAGGAACCTGCAGGGTTTCTGTGGGCTCAGCTCTGGCTTTGGCAGGGCCTGTGGTAGCTCCTCATCCAAAGGGGGAATCGGCCAAAGCTTCCCCATGTCCTCTGGCTCTGTTGTGGAAACAAGAAGGCAGGTTTGTGTGTTTCAGGTTACACAGTTCCCTGTTTAATTTTCTTTCCCTGCCCCCTCCGCTTGTCTCCAGGTCCAGTTGAATGCTGGCCAGCTGCAGTATATCCGCTTAGCCCAGCCTGTGTCAGGCACCCAGGTAGTCCAGGGGCAGATCCAGACGCTTGCAACCAATGCACAGCAGGTATGCACTCCCAACAGCAGGGCTGACATGAACTGGTAAAGTGTTCTTCCCTAGCTCCTGAAACTGCAAATTCCAGGCTAATTTACCAACTCTTGGGTTAGGATTCCTGCGTTTCTTTTCTTCCTGTTACTTTCGTCGGGATAATGAGGCAAGGAGCATAGTGGAAGCCTCCTTTACCTGTACGTGGAAGGTGCATGCATATATGTGTGTTTGTGTGTGTGTCTGTATAAAGCTCTTGCTGGTTAAACTTCAGTTCATCAGCCTTCTCTTTACTTCTGCTCCTTCTGGCTGGGTGAGGGAGGAGCAGCCGTGGAACCTCTCAGAGGTGAGCCGTCAAGACCAGCGATGCTGCCAGCAAGTTGTCTTGTGTTCTTGTTGAGACTGGTCACTAAGGGATTCTTCTCTGCCTTTCCTCTGATCCAGGAGGCTGCATCCTCCTGGTGGAAGTCAGGGAGGATGAATTTGTGTTGGGTTTGGCACGGCTGAATCCCAGGTCCTTTGTCCTTGACTCCGGGCTGGTGGCACAAGCCGTGTTTTACCACACGGTGGGGTAATGAGGTTTGAAAAGTAAAAGCTCTTGAAAGGCAGCAGGAGAGTGTTGTTAGTGGGGCTCTCACTGTTTCCCAGATGCTGTCAGTGATCATCCTTCTCTTCTTGTAGATAACACAGACAGAGGTCCAGCAAGGGCAGCAGCAGTTCAGCCAGTTCACAGACGGGCAGGTAAGAGCTTGGAATTTGCTAGTGCTGCATCCCTTGGAAGTCAAAGACTGTTTTAAAGTCTGCATGTTCTACCACATCTGCTTCTCCTGATGAATCACTGCTACTGCTACCAGACCTTAACTGGGAGCAGGATAAGTGGATGTTGTGCTGCTTTTAATTCAGGTGAACTCCTTGTGTTCTGCTGCACTCACTCCCAATTAGTCCAGTCCCCTTGCTCTCTGGGTGGGATCTGTGTTAGTCCTAACCTGTTTAGGAATAAAGGTCTTAACATCTGGCTGTTAGGAAGCCTGAGCTCAAACTGGGCATCAGAAATTCACAGAATTAGTTATGTTTTAGCAACAAGTGTCTAGAGGCAATTCATGGTCTGGTTTTGGGTGCTGCCCAGGGGGGTTGTGGAGTCCCCATCCCTGGAGGTGTTCAGGGCCAGGCTGGATGAGGCTTGTGTGGCCTGATCTGGTGGGAGATGTCCCTGCTCATAGCAGGCAAGTTGGGAACTGGTGATCCTAAAGGCCCCTTCCAGCCTTTACCATTCTGTGATGCTATGGACTTGACAGTTGCTGTTAACCACTGAATTGTGAGGTGCCCAACGTGTGCTTAGAGGGAGCTGGTGCTGGGTGTGATGAGAACTGACAGTCATTCCTTTCCCCTTCTTCTGTCTCTGCCAGCAACTCTACCAGATCCAGCAAGTGACCATGCCTGCAGGCCAGGACATCACCCAGCCCATGTTCATTCAGTCCACCAACCAAACCTCAGATGGCCAAGCCACGCAAGTGACAGGGGACTGAGTGGGGACGTTGTAACAAGTCTGTGGAAACAAACAGTGGCCTGAGGTTTGCCACACCAGCCTGGCCTGAGGAATACATCTGCTTCTGTGTCTGTAGTTGGTATCAAGGCTATAGTAGGCTGCAATCTCCAGTGCACTATACACCTTCCTCTGGTGGCTATGAGAGAAAATCCAACAGACACCGACAAGAATGCAATATTTTTATTTTTAGAAATCAATATTTCAGTGTATTCAGCTGCTTGTTCAAACCCATGACATGGAAAGAGAACTAATCAAAAGGAATTTGTAGGATCTCACTCAACAACGTCTAAAACATTTCTATCTAGTACAATTATTAAAGGGTACTGCCTCTGGTTTGTTGTAAGAGCTTTATTCTTGGCATTCTGTTTGTTTTTATTTTTTCTCTGACTAGGGCTAGATTCAGTCCTCCCAATGGTTTATTAGGGGTGGATGGGGCAGTGTGTGTGTGTGTGTGTGTGTTACATTTTCCTCTCCTGCCTCCTTTTTTGGTAAGCTGGAACCTTGGCTATATGCAGCTCAAGGGCAGGGAGTAGGGGAGGAGTAATTAAAGTGAAAACAAAAAAACATTCCTTGTATGATGACTGTGTTTTCTAAGAGCAAAATATTCTTTAATTTGGCTTGGTTTATTCCAGAAACACGGAGGGAAGTCTGGACAAAGCCCAGCCCTGCTGTTAACTGTTGTACTGGCTCCAGTCAATGCATGTAATATAAGCTTCCTAAAATGAAATAAATTTCCTTTCTAAGATGGTGTTTGTTCCTGCTTGGAGATCCAGTGCCTGGGCTCCACCTGCCAAGCAAAGAGCATCCCCAGTCCTTGCAAAATATTATACCCAAAGTAGTGAAACCAACAACGGGGCTTAAGGGTGGCCTGGAGGAGGGGTTGGGTGAGTGACAGGGGAGAGGAGGTGTGTGGATGCTGCCCTGCCAGGGGGGCTCCATCTAGGGTTCATGGACACGCTGCAGGGAGCTGGGCAGCACTGGGCTTGGGTGGAAGGGAGTGAGGTTGTAACCCAGCACCTTGGTGTGTCCAACCTCCAGCAGCTTGACACAGTTGGCACTTTGTCCAGGAGCAGCTCGGTGGCTTCGTGCAGCGCTTGGCAGAGCTGGGGACAGGGACAGTGCCAGCACTGCCACTTGTTCCTCGCTGGCAGAAGCACCAGGTTTGCCACGGGCTGGCTATGAGGCCACATGGAACCTGGGCCAGGCTCCTGGGAATGCCTTCCCTGGCAGTGCCTGGCCCATCTGGGCGGGAAGCAGAGTAATGGACACCCTGGAGTGGGTCCTGCCTTGTCCTGCCTGCACAGGAACTGCAGGACGTGGCTGCTCTGGGGAAGGAAAACACTTCAGCATGTGCCTGGTGCCAACTGCCAAATCTGGGCCAGGCTGTTCCAGTCAGGTAAGAGAGCTTGCTGCATCACCTGCACCTCCTGGGTTTCTTAAATGTCAAATTCCTTATTTTCCCATTGTTTCTGGGACGCCAGGGAGGCAGGGCACACTGCAGCAGCCCTCGGGTAACTGGGGCCCTGGGCAAAGCCCTGAAGGAGCATCTCCTGCTCTGGGGAAAAATGGAGCTAGGGAAAAAAGTACCTCGTGTGACAGCTCCGGGTGTGGGACGGGCCACGAGAGGGCACCCGTGGGCGGCTGCGGGGCTGGGGAGCCCGGGTCGGGGGGGGGCACCTTCCCCAGAGCCAGGGGGCAGCCGGGGGTCCTGCTCCCCAGCAGCCAGATCCTCTCTGGTCCAAGCTGCTGTCAGCCCCAACAGCAGCATCCCACCCCCAGAAAGGTGCCGTGGCTGGCAAGTACCAGCCCTCCACAGCAAGGTGGAGAAGAAGTGGGTTTGCTTGCAAGCATCTCTGCTGGCAGAACATCCTCTGTGCTTGTGCCAGGTAATCGGCTGGTGAGGACAGAGGAGCCGAGTGGCTCCTGGATGGAGGAGCTGGGTGGCCAGAGCAGGCAGCTGCCTTATCAGCTGCTGGCAGAGGTAACAAGAGGCTCTTCCCAAGGAAAGCTCTTTACCCAAAGCAGCCGTGGTTGCTTGAACTAGTTTAGGCAATTTATTCCCATTAAAATTTAAAGGACAGAGAACAGGAGTGAGACTCTGCTCCTGAGGGCTGTGCAGCTTCCAGCCTCTGCCTCCAGCTGAAGGGGATGTTGGTTTCAACATGCTCAGTATTGTCCTGATTGTTGCCCAAAGTCCGATCTCACCCGGGCGTGCGGGCACTGATCGGGCAGTTCATATTGAAGCTGATTATATAGATTAGCTAATATTTTGCTAATAACGGAGATAAGACTTCATCTGCCCACCCCCCAGGGGAAGGTGCTGACTGATTTGAACAGGAGAGGCGTTTTGAAGAGGCTGTTTGTCAGAGGTCCCGTGAAGCTCAGACACGGAGAGGATCCAACCCCCAGGAGGTCCCAGGCTGTGCAGGACCCAGCGCGGCGGGGACGGGAGCGCAGGGAGGGACCCGGGGAGCCGGGACAGCGCGGTGAGTGATGCTGTGGGAAAGCGGCTCCGGGAGCTGCACCTCCAGCGCCCCGGGGGGGGAAAGCTGAGGATTCAGCAGCTCTTCCCCCCCCCCCCCCCCAAGGACCGGTTTGGGTCTCCGTT